TGTCCTGCGGCCCCAGCACCTGCTCCCCAGTGGGAGCCTCACTCAGCCTGCAGGGTAAGCACAGAGCAGACGCCAGGGAGCCACCTGCAGACCAGGGAAAACATGAGCCACCACCACCATGCGACATGCAAATCCTTCCCGAGAGCTCCCCACCCCGAGCCCCATGACTCCTGCCATTCCTGTGGGCACCACCCCGTGGCGGCCCCCCGGCCCCCAGTACACAGCCTGCAAAACCCCTTCCCCACCCGGGAGAAGACGCATCAGGTTTTTAAGAGACAAGCATTCTCAGAGGTAACCTCTCTCACACACCGGCTGCCCGTGCACCTGGTGGGAGTCTAACGCGCTTTCCGGGCATTGGCTGCGCACCCCATGACTAACTGAGGGGATTTAAACGGAAGCCCCTCAGAGATGAGGAGGCATCGTCATCCAAGGTCAATACTCAGTGAAGCACACGGCCTCCGACCTCCCAACTGCAGCTCAGGGGAACCTGTGACTCGGCAGCCCTGCCAGGCGCCCTGGACAGGAAGAGGGCCCGGTCTGACACAGGGGCGCCGAGGAGCAGAGCCCCAGGGCAGGCACCGCGACAGCGGCCATGGGTGGGGAGAGAGAGTCTGGGAAGGAATGACAAAGGCGGGTGGTGAGGGAGGCACTACAGAGCCACGTGTGAGCTGCGGAGCACGGCAGACAGACACCCGGCACGTCCTCTGTGAACACCCTTGGGACCGCTCAACGCCATGGGCACGGCAGGAGACCCGGCTGGTGGGAACGGCAGGGACAGCTTGAACGGACAGAGAAGATGCCAAAGAGGCCTCCAGGCAGCGCCCTGAGTGGGAGGAAGGAAACAGGACTGTCACCCCACAGCCAGGGAGAGAAGGCGCACGCACTGGGGCAGAGAGCCAGGACCATGAGAGGAGGACACGGCAGAAAGAAAGAGGCAGGAGAGGGGTTTCCTGGGAGATGAGCGCCGGGCCGGGACCCAGGGACGCGCAGACACAGCCAGTCGCACCCTACAGGTCACCGAATTCAAAAGGGACACCAAACACTCTGTATCTTGATTGTACCAATGCCAATGAAATCATTACATCGGTGCATAGCTTTGTAAGATGCCACCATCGGGAGAAACTGAGTAAAGAGAACGTGGGATGTTTCCGTCTTATTTCTGACGGCTGTGCAAGAATCTACGATAATCTCAAAATAAAAAGTTTAATTAAGGAAAAAAGGATGCAGTTCCTAGAGGTAGACTGGGGGCAGGTCCCCTGCAGCTCCCGCCACCTCCTGCCTAGTGAATATCCAAAGGGCCGGCCACCTCTGGCTCCTCCCACCAGGAACAGAGTACACAGGCGGCATTTGGATGTTAAGGTACAAAAGTACAAAAGCTAACAGCCACATACGTATGAAATAGCAGGCTTTCCCGGTGATCCCTTCCTCTTTAAAGAGGCTACTTCACCCACAGAAAGTCGTTAAAGGGTTAACCTGCCTTCCACCTGAGCTCAGATTAGGCAGGACTCACACCAGCAGAGGTCAGATCAGAAAATATTTTCTGAGTCACAGGGAGGGATGGCTCACTCCGCCACCCACTTCAGCTACTACTCACAGTCGAGTGAAGGGCATGACTGCTCAGCGGGCATTCATCAGAGACTTGTGGGCTCTCAGGAGGAAGCCAGAAGCAGGCGGGGACAGTCACTCTGGGGCCGCTCCACGCCCACAGCCTCAGTGAGTCACGGAGGGGAAGGACCACTGCACACCCTCGCAGGCTCCTGCCCAGCCACCAGGCAGCCGAAGATACCACCTGCTCCCTCCTGAGCTGAGACCCGGTTTTCCCACCAAAAGAAGGGCCATGCTGCTTTAGAAATGCTGCCGTGAGCTACTAGTGGATATCTGGGAACTCTCAGTCACAGAAGGAACAAAACTCGCCCTGCAACCCCTGCACCCCGCCCTCCCATTTGTCAATTGCGCAAAAGCCCATTTTGGAGGCTGGACACTTCCGCGTGCGGACGGCTGTGGCTGTTTACACTTCCTCCTGCGGGTGTCCCCTCCTCAGAGAAGCCACCCACACCTCCCCCAGGGCAAACCTGGCAGCCCCACCCTCTGGGACCTTAGCTGGTCCCATATACGGGGCACTACACCTCAGGTGACCTTCTGTGTTTATAGATCACTTACCATCCTTCGTTCATAAGTTTCTTGAGAATAAGAATACTGTCTACTGTCCTCCGCACCCCCTGGAACACTGAGTGTAAATATCCAGGAGGTGCTTGCAGAATGAATGAATCAATGAACAAACAAGCTCAGTCATTTCAAACGTGCCATCACATGAGTAATCTGACCTTCTGAAAAGTTAAGCTTCTGGAAGGAGCCCATTTCTTAATGTATTCAGCATCGAGTCATCACAAAATACGAACTCTTATAAAGTACCGCCCCCTCACTTCCCATGAGAAAGCAAAATTCCTCAGCAGGGAAATGGGAGGGTAGCAGACGTTACCCACAAAGCTTTAGGAAGGCTTCAGCTCGCTGAGCACTTCACTAGGGCCCCTGACTGCTTGCCCGGTAGTGGGACAGACACACCAGGAACGGCTGCTGACCAGCAGGAGGAGCGCCCAGCCAGGCAGGCAGCACACCCTGCACCCTGCCAAGCGAGGTCCGGCCAGCAAGACAAAGACGCTCTCCACTTCAGAACTGCCCACCGCTAGAAAGCCTGGTCCTGCCAGGGCCTGGACACATGAGGCCTTCTTACAAGGGTTACAAATCTGTGGCCTTGCTCTGCATCGAATAAAAGATGGTGATGGGGACAACGTGACCATCTCCAGATGAACTTTCATCTTCGTTTCAAGTGCCTAGGTGCTGGGTCACAGTGGATTTCTAAATTCTTCCAATACTTAAAAATACCAATTTCTAAGATGCAGAAGGGCTGTTAAACATACACTTAGCACAGACCCCAGTCCCACTCCTGAGTATTTTCTCAAGTGAGGTAAAAACCCAAGTTCACATGGAAACCTGCCCTGGGATGTTTACAGCAGCTTATTCCTGATCCCCTCAAAACTGGAAATATCCCACAAGTCCTGCCACCCGCAGGCAAATGGACAAACGGAAAATGGAATACAACACAGCAAGAAAAAGGGGTGACTTCTCATACCCGCAACAACAGGGATGACGGACTTCCCTGGTGGTCCAGTGGCTAAGACTCTGCGCTCCCAATGCAGGGGACCTGGGGTCCATCCCTGCTCAGGGAACTAGATCCCGCACGCCGCAACTAAAAGATCCTGCACGCGGCAATGAAGATCCCATGCGCCGCAACTAAGACCCACCACAGCCAAGTAAATAACTAACTAAATAAATATTTTTTTAAAAAACAGGGATGAATCTCTGATAGGTTTTGCTGAGCCAAAGCAGACAGAATAAAAAAGCTACATACTGTTGTTCCATTTATCTGACTTTCTGGAAAAACCAAGACCTTAGGGACAGAGAGGAGATTAGTGGCCAAGAGGCTAGAGGCACGCTGGCGCCAAAGGGCAGCAAATGGGATGACAGGATTGCTCTGCCGCCTGACGGCGATCATCTGTCAAAACTCCTAGAACTGTGCACTACAAGTGAACTATGCTTCACGGCTAGTAAGGATAAACGAATTATTACATTTTGAAAAATGCGCCGGCCAGCCAACCGGTACATGACAAGTGCAGTAAGAGGGGCGGGGGAGGCGAGGCAAGTGGATCAGCTGGAGTTCTGAAGGTTCTCCCCACTTTCACTTTCCGCGCCCTGGGATGTCTCCCCGCCCTGCCCACTGCTCAGACCGCCGACCGGGCCACCCGGAGCTACCCAACCGGAAAAGCCAGAGCCCTGGCTCAGCCGCGCCTCCGGGCGCAGGAAGAGCAAAAATAGAAAGCGCCGGTGCGCAGTGGCGGGCTGGAAACCCTCGGACCTCGGAGAACCGGGGAGAACCGCGGCCCGGAGCCAACATCGGCTCCCGGGCGGTCCCAGCGTCCCGACCCCGCCCCCGGCCGCGACCCAGTTTCCACACACTGACACACACGGAGCCCGCGCGAGGGGCGGGGCG